AGAACAGCATTAAAACATCACCTCATGCAATACAGTAGGCTATTAGTGTACTCCAAGGCTTTCATCCATGTCAAACCGTTGATATGGGAGGAAACACAAAGCTATTCTGACATAATTCCATGTCCAATAATATTATGTCCAAAAAATTTGTCTTATGTTTTAGGTTTACAGTAGGTTTGTATTGCATATGTACCAGAGTTTCAACACTAAAATCAATTCCACAGTTCCAAATCCCCATATCTTTTCATGTTCTCGTAGTTAAATGATGACTGAGGCCCAAACATATTTAATCAATTACTAGTCTCCTAGGCAGACAGGTTGCCTCCCACAATGTAAACAATGTTCCAGCTGTTGCCCTAGGTCTGGGATATCTGAGACTAATCAATTACCTATTTTGATCTCAAAATATTAACTTTGGACAATTTACTTTATGCATTAATTATCCAAATAAAAACAGTTGAGTGAGAATAAAAGCGACAAAACTGTGTGCTAAGTGTCTTGTCCTCCATGACAACTAACCAACTCCTGTCTAAAAGGATACCATATGAAACTACTGTTACAAACACCATGCAAACAGGAATATAATAAATGTTCAACCATCAACTTTGAAACAAGTCATTTCATATTCAAATGTCCAGTTACTGTATATACGATATAGTATTTTTTATTTTACTTCAATACTTATATAGACTGTATAGTTAAATATTTCCAATATTATATTATTTTGATTGTAGGTAGTATTTGTGTGACACTTAATAAGTGTGCTGACTGAGGATAAACTATTTACCACTATCTAATAGACAGACCCCAGACGTTATCACCTCTCCCTCAGCTAAGAGCTGTCAACAAAACCGGAGTTGTCTTACTGGGATCTATGGGACCAGTTAAAAATAGGTCTGTCCCCGCACTGATTTCAGCATACTTTAAAATCAATTTGGGAAACAACTGAATATTTAATAATATCTCAAATAAACTCCATGAAGGATTCTATATATTTTTATCTGCCCATAGACCTGTATAGTTTTGTGGCATGAATCTAAACTTGATATTGAGCATTAGATGTCAATGTTGGTCCAGTAGGCTACATTTGCTCCAACTATATAATGCTCAGTGGAGATGTTGGTTGACTAATGTCAGCCATGATTTCTTTAATCTTTTTTCACAAAGAAAAACTGCATCATGTCCACATCAATAGTCAGTTAACAACTTCATGAACTATGTGATTTGTTGGAGCAAATTGTAGCTGACTGTTGAACCTCAAAGACAGTGTTGAAAACCACTGACTAGTGTCAAACATCCTTGCCTTGCCACTCAAGTAACTCACACCCTGTATACCCTTCCTACTCCCCAATCTGATATATAGATTTCTTTGCATTTTAGTTTTTGGTTCAATATTTACACATTAATCAGAATAGCAGCTTTTAAAAAATGTTTAGAACATCTATAATATGTCATAATATGTTAGATAAACAATATGCTTCACAAAATACAGTGCACATCACACACAAAATATCTTGTTTTTACGTAAACTATTCAATAAATTAAATTAAATAATTTTATTTTGAAACAATATCATACAAAACATTATTTTGTTATTTATTTAGATAGAATGTATATTATATATCCTATGTTTCTATCATGTGTTGAACAGTGCCATCCATTGCACAGAAACTAACTGTATGTACATATATCTATATAATATTTGCTTACAAAAATAATTAATATGATTAATGTATTATTCCAGGGTTGATTCTTTAGACATGCCCTTGTAAATATGCAGAAGGTAGGGATTCACAGTCATATTATATTTAGCAAATAAATGGCTGTGCCACATTGAAAATAAATTGTTTCTTTCCATCCTAGTACAAGGTTGTGAAGATTTGCAGTGATGATGGGTTCAAAACTATCCATTCAAAATAGTTGTAATTTCACTGCTAATTTTCAGCTAAAGCATAGTTTGTTCATTCACCACACAGTTTTGCCTTTGTACTAAAAAGAGGTTTGTATCAAAAAGTTATTTATTTTCCTATGGCACAATTTGTATATTTGTATTTGGCAAGAATTGTAGAATTCACATTTCTAGACTGGAATTAGTGTAAACCAAATGATGATAAAGAGAAACAGATGTATTTACTAAAATACTAAAATATATCAATGTTCACAAACATTATATATTTCTGAGTGTCTCTATATTAGCAATTTACATTTTCTAATGTAGACTACATTGTAATATATTCAAATTGTTGCCATTTGTTATGACTGTATCAAACACATGGAATTCTGTTTTAGATTATAACACAGTAGTTTCTTGACATCCATATCTACTTTATATCAATATTTCAGGGTTTCTCTTTACAGTTGTATAACTGTATTAACAATAGTTTATGCCACCTAAAAGTCTTGTCAGCACTGGGCCCTGATCAAGAGGAGCATCAGGTACAGCAGGTACTAATATGTATTAAATGATCGGACAAATCACACTATTTACAGGAATCAACTTGGGGGTCAACACCAACTCCATCAGAATTCAGTCAGTCCGTAAACTGACTGGTATGAAGATGACCTCAACCCTGACAACAGCATCCTGGTAGCAGTTTGCCTGTCTCCTCCACACATGTCACTGTGTGCTGTGCCTATGCATGCAGTTATCCTTCCTTCCTTCCTTCAGATTGATATAGACTGGGCTGCTGCTCAGGAGTCCTCAACTGACCTTGTCACCAAGGTGACAATCCATTGGAAGACATGTCGATGATGATTGATGAATTCTCGACCCATCCCCTTCCCTCAATGCCTTCAACACATCATATCGTACATTACATAAAAAAACAAATGCACAACAACAAAAGATAAAAAGATATGTGTATCCTCTAAATAAATTAACAGATTAATAATACAAGTAAAAATAAAATAGACGAGCAATGAAACGATATCCATCCCTCTCTTGCAAGTAACCCACATACCTACAAAAAGAAGAAGAAAAGCAACAATATTGACAGACAGGTCAAGTAAAACACAAGGACTAACAGAACAAAAACGTCTGGTCTACCAAACAGAAATTACGTTTAGTTTGGGGAATAATTTGTCTTTGGGATATGTCCACTCCTCAGTATAAGAAGAAACTCATGTGCCATTTGACATCTAGTGATCTGATAGCCATAGAAGAACCTAAACAGGTTGATGCCACAGCTTTCTAGATGATGAAAGGAGCAGACATAATGCTGGTAGGGGTGACTGATATTCAATTAGAATTTAGCCAGTGCCTTTAGGGGGCTCAAGGGGATGATACTAACTATTTTGTGCAAAGTGAGCTGATATGTTATGAGTGTGTGTGTGTGTGTGTGAGTGTGTGTGTGTGTGTGTGGAGGGGTGTTGGTGGGATGTGAGGGATGTGACTGGAGTAGAAGTGTAGGGTCAATGGAAGCACGGGCCATAAACCATTAAGATGCTAGGTGAGTGGGTGGTGAGGGGGTGTTGTTTTGATTTGAGGTTGTTTTCTCAGGAATAGATGGTGATGACCTCGCGTCCACCCCCACGTACTAGGAGGACCCGGTTGAGGCCCTCAGTGAGGACCTCCAGGAACTCCATATCTGACAGAGGATTAGAGTAAAGGAATATGTAAGTTTTCACAACTGGCTTTCATAGCCTATTCATGCTAGCTATTTGCTATCCTGTTTAGCCCTTTGGTTTCACTTACATATATGACAGTATAAGCCACATATTGTTATAATATCATATAATATAATATGGTAGGCTATAATATGACACATCATGCCAAAGAAGTGATAGGATACAGTTTTCCTCTCCCATGCGGTTCTTGGGTGGTCCGGGCATGTTCAGCAGAACCAGCTTGGCATCCTTGGACTTCTTCATGATGACCTCGTTGAGCCTCAGAGCTGTGTGCATGCGCCTCACGTTGGACTGGTTCCTGATGGGACAGACAGGAGGTGAGGAAGGAATACAGTACAGGATGGATGTTGTGTCATTACTGCTATTTTTGCATGGAATTTTTTTTTAAACATCATGACAATATAATACTTACAGGCTCTCCCACTCCCTGCAGCATGGTAGGAAGAGAAAGACAATGCAGAGATGACTCTTTACAATACTGAAGATACATTGAGAGGTTGTGCTGTGTGGATGACACTAAAAGCCTTTCAAACATTTGGGCCATTACTCCTGAAACTAGCTTTTCAACCGCTGCCACTCCCCGACAGCAACAACCTATAAATACATTCTCCTTATCTTCTGTTTACTTTAGAAGTAGCTGAAGTCCACATAAGCCTTTGGACACAATGTGATTGAAAGTGAAAGTGAAAGCAGACTCACGGCTTCATGTTGAAGATGTCTTTGACCCCGCCCTGCTCTGGGTGGGCTGCTGCGGCCTGGTGCTCAGCCTTGTCTGTCCAGGTCATCTGCACCTCCGACCCGGGGGTGGTAACTCCCCCTGCAGGTGTGATGGGGGACGTGGGGCTGGTGGGGGGTAGCGTTCTTATTGTGGATCAGCTGCACCTGTTTAGGGCGGGGAGACAGCCACAGACTAAGAGAAGGACAACGTGACAGGGTGAAGGAAAGAAAGAGACACCTGTCAGTTGGGGGTGACACATCAAAAACACCAGACCACCACTGGGCAGTGAGTTGAAAGCACAATTGGGGCACTTTAGCAAAGCATCTACGTAACATACTGCTCTGTCATATCCCTTCATTATGCTGCAGAGGAAAAGGTCCCCTTAAAATGCTACACGCCTGAGGACAATGTCAAAGCGAGATAACTGGCATTTTGACAGAGGACAGAGGATTAGGTCATGCAGTAGGCCTAGAGATGAGAAAGGGGATAGAGCGTAGACCAAAGGAAAATACAGTGGATGCGAGAGATGGTGAGAAATAAGAAGAACGTTTAAACAGTAGAATGAAGGACTGATAGAGTAGTCATCTGCAGCTCAGTTGGTAGAGCATGGCGCTTGCAACACCAGGATAGCAGGTTTGATTCCCAGGACGACCCATGCACGCATGACTGTAAGTCGCTTTGGATAAAAGCGTCTGCTAAATGGCATATATTATTAAATTATATTATTATATTACAAGGGGTTATCAGAAAGCAGTGGAGGCTCTCTCAGAGGAGGAAGGGGAGGGCCATCCTCCTCAGTGAAAAACGGTAAAACGTTATATATATATATTTTTTTAGATAAAACTATACTAAATATATTCACGTCACCAAATAATTGATTAAAACACACTGTTTTGCAATGAAGGTCTACAGTAGCCTCAACAGCACTCTGTAGGGTAGCACCATGGTGTAGCCGGAGGACAGCTAGCTTCCGTCCTCCTCTGGGTACATTGGTTCTCACCCCCTTCCATAGACTTACACAGTAATTATGTCAACTTCCGGAGGATGTCCTCCAACCCATCAGAGCTCTTGCAGCATGATCTGACATGTTGTCCACCCAATCAAAGGATCAGAGAATGAATCTATTACTGAAAGCATAAGCTACAGCTAGCTAGCACTGCAGTGCATAAAATATGGTGAGTACTTATAATAAATAATAATATGCCATTTAGCAGACGCTTTTATCCAAAGCGACTTACAGTCGTGCGTGCATACATTTTTGTGTATGGGTGGTCCCGGGGATCGAACCCACTACCTTGGCGTTACAAGCGCCGTGCTCTACCAGCTGAGCTACAGAGGACCACAAGCTTACCTTGACTCAAAGAGAGAGAATGACAATAGTTGAACAGTTTTGAACAAATTAATTTATTCCTAAATGAAAGAGATGCAAGAGAGAGAGAGATATATATAGAGAGAAATTTGGTCTTTTTTTTTTTTCACTTTCAGTTTCACTTACTTAGCTAGCAAATGCAGCTAGCTAGTTTAGCCTACTCAAACACCCTGCTCAAAGAGAGGGATGCCAGCTGGCTAGCTGGCTATGACTATCCAACACAACACTGGAACTCTTCCAAGTCAAGGTAAGCTTTTGGTTTTACTAATTTATTGCCACCAGGGCCCGCTGGTGTAACTGCAAGACTTCTTACTGACTGTACACTGTAACGTTACTACATGATTTTAGTGGGTTTAGTAATGTGTTAGTTCTATTAGCTATGTTGACTATGATGTTACTTAAGCAAATATGGTGACAACGATCTAGGCTGTGTGTAGCAGTTCTGATATGGTTTGGCTTGTAAAGTTTTTTTTGCCTGGTCACATACAGCTGATGTGTTGTGCAGTGAAGTCCACAAGCGAAAGGAAAAGGTGAGAGGTGGAAAGTGCATAGATGCGAAAAGGAACACAACGTGGCTGCTATGAAAGAGAAACGTGTTTACTCGTGATCAGGGGTGTATTCATTTCGCCGATTCTGTTGATAAACTTTTCTTAAACGGAAGCAACGGAACGAAACAGGGATAAACATACCTGAATTTGTCCAATAGAAACTCTCGTTTGCAACTGTTGGACTAATGATTACACCCTAGATCAGCTAGATGCAGGCAAGAGTGTGCAAGGCGGTATTAAATGTATCACTGTCTGTCACCTATAATTTTTCTCTCCACCTGTGTGCACCTACGTTGCAAACTTTAATTCATAGGCTAGGTTGTAGCAACCTCATGATGGGTATAGGGAAAATTTGAGTATCATGTAGTAGCCTAAACCTATTGCTGTTACATTGAACTGGGTGAATGGAATATGAATGATAGTCATCCAATATGCTGCAATAGAAATAAGGCCATGCTCATGGACAAACAATAATTCTTCCCTCAACTTAAACGGCACCGACCGCCACTTTCAAAGAGTTAGGTAAGAGGACACTGCTGTACCTCCTCCTCCGGTTTCTCTTCCACGCTGACTCCAGCCGGCTCCTCACTGCTCTGCTGAGACCGCAGGTTAGACGGGTTCTTACGACGGATAGAACCACGGGATGAATCAGTGATGCTCTGGATCTGTGGTAGTCAAAGCAACAAGGGATTTGCACTTTTAACAGAGAACACGAGTTCAAACATGAGAGTTTGAGTCGAGATATGTAAGTGACTGTTACAACACTTCAGAAAATCACATAAAAGCAATTTGTCAACACTTGAAATATTATAATTTGCTCAACGCAAAGCAGATTTGATGCATATGTTGATAAATCTATAGCATGTGTTTTTAATTAGATTTTAGAAATGCATGACATTATAGAATGAAGACTTCTTTGTGGGAATGTGGGGAAGTTATTGTAAGTGTCACGGTTCAGACAGACGACCAGAGGACCACAATTGCGTCACACCAGAAAGTTTATTAAAACTTAAGGGAAAAGGGAAGTAGGGAGTGAATGAAGGCTCCAGGGGTAACAGGGATCCCGTCCAATGTGCTGGGTCTGTGCCCCCCCCAGTGGCAGCGATGCGTCCTATGAAGCCGGTGGTGGGTGGTCCAGAAGTCCTGGGGGGGGGAGACACAGACACAACAGGGCGGAATGAAACAAGGCAGCAGTACAGTTCAAGGGAAATCCAAAATACGTAGTAGCAAGGCAGAAGGCTGGTCAGAGTTACCGGGATTGAAGAGTAGTCAGGAGTCGTTATGGCAGAAGCAGGTCTGGATCTCCTGGGGCAGAAGAGTATCCAAAAATTCAGGCAGGTCCGGGGTCACACAACCAGGGTGAGCCAGAAGCGCGAGCAAACAGGTTCCGGGTGTGAGCTTTGCAGGCGATCTGACACCGGAGAGCTGAAAGACAGGGCCTTAAATACTGGGAGAGGTAGTGGGTAATGCAGCGCAGCTGGCAGAGTAATTAGAGCAGAGCAGAGCAGGGACAGGTGGAGCTAGTTAGGCTGAGTAGAGAGAGTGGTGAGCAGAGTGGAAGAAAATTAAGGTGGTAACCCGGTGGAGTGAGAGGCTCATGACAGAACCCCCCCCCCAAGGGACGGCCCCAGAAGTCCCAAGAGCAACACCACGCCGGGCGGGAGGAGGGGAGCCGGAGGAGGGCTAGAACTCCTCCGAACGGTCCGAGTGAACGTCCTCATCCTCGGAGGAAGCCGGAGGGCCGTGGTCGGGAGATGGGACAGGTCCCGAGACAGGATCAGGCACAGGACAGGAAGCCGAGCGGGCAGGACGGTTAGGGACCCCTCTGGGGCGGCCCCTACGGATTGCAGGTTGATCAGGATGCCGTTGGTGGAAAGCGGTGATGAGAGTCCTATCCACAATCCGACTAGCTGGCACCCAGGTCCTTTCCTCAGGTCCATAGCCCTCCCAGTCAATGAGGTACTGGAGACCCCTACCCCTCCGTCTGGACCGAAGCAGGCGGCGGACGGTGTAAACCAGACCACCATCGACGAGCCGTGGAGGAGGAGGACAAGGCGCAGCAGGGACCAGCGGACTCTCATGGATGGGCTTAATCTTAGACACATGGAAAGTGGGGTGCACCCTCAGGGAATTAGGCAGTTGGAGCCGGACAGCAGTTGGGCTAATCACTCTTATGATAGGGAATGGGCCAATGAACCGAGGTGCCAGCTTCTGCGACTCCACCCTGAGTGGCAGGTTCTTCGATGACAACCACACCCTTTGACCAACATGGTAGGTGGGAGCAGGAATTCTCCGACGGTTGGCCCCGGTAGTGTAGCTGGCAACGGATCTGAGGAGTGTGGCTCGGGCTTGTGACCAGGTGCGGCGACATCGACGGGCAAAAGCAAGTGCAGATGGGCAAGTAACCTCCTCTTCCTGGCTGGCAAATAGAGGAGGCTGGTATCCATAAACACATTGGAAAGGGGACATACCGATGGCAGAGCAGATCAGAGAATTGTGTGCGTACTCCACCCATGTCAATTGCTGCGACCAGGAGTGGGGGTTGCGTGAAGTCATGCATCGCAGTGCCTTCTCGAGCTCCTGATTAGCCCGCTCTGACTGCCCATTGGATTGGGGATGGAATCCGGAAGTCAGACTGACTGTGGCTCCCAGCAGGTGACAGAACTCCTTCCAAAAAGCGGAGGAGAATTGTGGACCACGGTCAGAAACTACATCCTTTGGCAGTCCGTGGATCCGGAAGACGTGTTCCAGGACCACCTGGGCGGTCTCCTTGGCGGTTGGGAGCTTGGGGAGGGGAATGAAGTGTGCCATCTTGCTGAAACGGTCAACTATGGTGAGAATGACGGTCATGCCCCTTGAAGGGGGCAGCCCCGTGACAAAGTCAAGGGCGATGTGAGACCAGGGACGTCTGGGCACAGGCAGGGGCTGCAGCAATCCGGCTGGGGGCTGGCAGGACGACTTGTGTTGGTTGCAGATGGGGCAGGCTTGGACGAATTCCCGTACATCCTTTCTCAGAGAGGGCCACCAGAACCTCTGGGCGAGCAGGTTGTAAGTGCGGGTGGAGCCAGGGTGACAAGCTAGGCGGGAGTCATGTCCCCACTGAACGACCTGGGACCTCAGGTCTTCGGGGACAAAAAGGCGGTCAGCTGGGCAAGTGCTGGGACCTGGCTGGTTACGGAGAGCCTCCAGCACCTGTTCCTCAACAGCCCAGGTCAGAGCTGCAACGATGCAGGGACTTGGCAGAATCGACACAGGGTCCTTGGAGGGGGTGTCATCCTTCTGGAATTGACGGGAGAGGGCGTCTGGCTTGGTGTTACGTGATCCAGGCCGGTATGACAGAGTGAAATTAAACCTGGTGAAGAACAGGGCCCAGCGGGACTGCCTGGAGTTCAAACCGTTTGGCCGTGCGGATGTACTCCAAGTTCTTATGATCGGTCCAAACGAGAAATGGAATGGTGGACCCCTCCAGCCAGTGACGCCACTCCTCCAAGGCAAGCTTCACAGCCAGCAGCTCACGGTTCCCTATGTCGTAATTGCACTCAGAGGGGGACAACCGACGTGAGAAAAAGGCACAGGGATGGAGCTTCCTATCCTCCGCAGCCCACTGAGAAATCACAGCACCAACTCCCACATCCGAGGCGTCCACCTCCACAATGAATTGCCGGTCCACATCAGGCATCTGGAGGATGGGAGCGGAGGTGAACCTCACCTTGAGGGTACTGAAGGCTTTGTCGGCTGCTGGGGTCCAGGTGAAGGGTTGCTTGGTGCTGGTTAGAGCAGTGAGAGGGGCAGCAACGGTACTGTAGTTCCGGATAAACTTTCTATAGAAGTTAGCAAACCCCAGAAACTGTTGCAGCTTCTTTCTGTTCTCCGGAACTGGCCATGAAGTGACTGCTGATACTTTGGCAGGATCCATTTGGATACTTCCCTCTGCCACTATGTACCCCAGGAAGGCCACTGTCTTGACGTGAAACTCACATTTCTCTGCCTTGGCGTAGAGGGAATTCTCCAGAAGACGATGAAGGACTTGCTGGACATGGCGGGTGTGTTCAGACAGGTTTCTGGAGTAGATTAAGATGTCATCCAGGTAAACGAAGACAAACTTGTTTAACATGTCCCGCAGTACATCATTCACTAGAGCCTGGAACACAGCAGGAGCATTGGTGAGGCCAAAAGGCATAACCAGATACTCGTAGTGGCCTGTTGGTGTATTGAATGCGGTTTTCCATTCATCTCCCTCCCGGATCCGCACTAGGTGGTAAGCGTTTCTGAGATCCAACTTGGTAAAAACAGTGGCTCCCTGGAGCAACTCAAAAGCAGAGGTGAGCAGAGGCAGAGGGTAACGGTTTTTCACTGTGATGTCGTTGAGTCCCCTGTAGTCGATGCAGGGGCGAAGAGATCCGTCCTTCTTCCCCACAAAGAAGAAGCCAGCACCAGCAGGAGATGAAGATGAACGGATTAATCCTGCGGACAGAGAGCCATTGATGTAGTCCTCCATGGACTTTCTTTCAGGAGCAGACAACGAATAAAGACGACCCTTTGGAGGGGCTGTTCCAGGGAGGAGGTCGATGGCACAGTCGTACGGTCGGTGAGGGGGCAGAGATGTGGCTCTTGCTTTGTTAAACACCTCTCTGAGACCATGGTAGCATTCTGGGACATTGGAGAGGTCAGGAGCGGAGTTAGTAGGTACTGGCCGAGGGGGGTAGTGCGGCAGCAAGCAGGCAGGTTCGGTGGCAGTCCTCTCCCCACTCCCTGATCACCCCGGTCACCCAGTCGAGCTGAGGGTTGTGCCGGCGGAGCCATGGGTAACCCAGGATGAGGGGTTGGCCTGGAGAGGGGAGCAGGTGAAACTGGATAGTTTCTTGATGGTTTCCGGACAGACCCATCGAGACCGGGGCCGTGACATGAGTGACCGATCCGAGTAAGTGTCCGTCCAGTGCCCGGGCAGGAATAGGAGGTGTCAAACGGAGGTTCTCCAGTCCCAGTTGGCGTGCCAGCTTGATGTCCATTATGTTGGCTTCGGCGCCAGAATCCACCAGAGCAGCCAGGGTGTGAGTTGAGTCAGAGAGGCGGAGGTGAACTTGCAGCAGGGGTTTGCGGTCGGAGGACTGGATGGTCATTGAACTCAACCGGACTCCCCCTATGCCCGGTGAGCTTCGGCCCTTTAAAGGGCAGGTTACCACACGATGTCCATCACCTCCACAATAGAGGCAGAGGTTTGAGGTGAAGCGGCGCTGGCGCTCTGCAGGAGTGAGAGAGGCTCGCCCAATCTCCATAGGCTCAGACTGATCAAGCTGACCTGGGTGAGTGGCAGTAGATGACAGGAGCCCAGTCGGATCTCTCCGAATGCCGGTAGTAGGTGGACCTTGGCGCCCCCTCTCACGACGACGGGTCTGTATCCTTCTGTCGATCCTGACAGTCAGTGCGATGGCTTCATCAAGAGTGGAAGGCAGTTCATGGGAGACCAACTCGTCCTTGATATAGTCAGCCAAACTATGGAAGAACGCGTCCACCAACGATGGTGTGTGCCAAGAACTTCGTCTAGCCAGGGTTCGGAAGTCGATGGAATGGTCTGCGACTGTACGTCTGCCTTGTCGAATACTGAACAGTTCACGAGACGCCTCTGCGGTTGGTGAATCCAGGTCAAACACCTTCAGCATCTCCTCAGCAAACAGGTCGAAGGTTGCACATGCGGGGGTTTGACGTTCGAACTCTGCTGTTCCCCAGAGTCGAGCTCGGCCCGTCAGGTGAGTGATGGCATACCCAACTTTAGCCCCCTCCGTGGCGAAGGTCCTTGGCTGCAAGGAGAACTGAAGTCGGCAGCTAGTCAGGAATGGCCGGACCTGGGTTGAATCGCCGTTGAAACCGCTCGGGGTTTCCAATCTTGGGTTCCGGAGCAGCGGCTGCAATGACCGGGGCAGGTAACTCGGGGGCAGGGCTGGTGGGCAGACTGGCTGGGGTAAGGTTGGTGAGGAGTTGAATGATCATGGCGAGTTGTTGTTGCTGCTGCTGGAACTGCTGCTCATGCTCATCGGTTTCCATGTCGGGGAAAGTGTGCGCTGAGTCCATAATGGTCAGATCGTACTGTCACGGTTCAGACAGACGACCAGAGGACCACAATTGCGTCACACCAGAAAGTTTATTAAAACTTAAGGGAAAAGGGAAGTAGGGAGTGAATGAAGGCTCCAGGGGTAACAGGGATCCCGTCCAATGTGCTGGGTCTGTGCCCCCCCCAGTGGCAGCGATGCGTCCTATGAAGCCGGTGGTGGGTGGTCCAGAAGTCCTGGGGGGGGGAGACACAGACACAACAGGGCGGAATGAAACAAGGCAGCAGTACAGTTCAAGGGAAATCCAAAATACGTAGTAGCAAGGCAGAAGGCTGGTCAGAGTTACCGGGATTGAAGAGTAGTCAGGAGTCGTTATGGCAGAAGCAGGTCTGGATCTCCTGGGGCAGAAGAGTATCCAAAAATTCAGGCAGGTCCGGGGTCACAAAACCAGGGTGAGCCAGAAGCGCGAGCAAACAGGTTCCGGGTGTGAGCTTTGCAGGCGATCTGACACCGGAGAGCTGAAAGACAGGGCCTTAAATACTGGGAGAGGTAGTGGGTAATGCAGCGCAGCTGGCAGAGTAATTAGAGCAGAGCAGAGCAGGGACAGGTGGAGCTAGTTAGGCTGAGTAGAGAGAGTGGTGAGCAGAGTGGAAGAAAATTAAGGTGGTAACCCGGTGGAGTGAGAGGCTCATGACAGTAAGATCACACAGGTTGTTCTGTAAATCCTCACGCGTTATCTTAGGTTCCCTGAGATGTTATTGTTGCTCAGTCTGCTTTCTTGATTAATGAGACAGATCAAACTGGGCAAGTGCAGACACAGAGATTACATTTTCAAAATAGCTCAGTAATTATAATCATTCACTTGCTGCCTTGCCCTGTTGCTGACATTTCAAATTGAGTGAGTGATGATGGCTGGCTCAATACAAATAACAATTTGTTTGAAGGTAGAGAATAGCAAAACAAACTTCAGGGCATTGTTCAATTCAAACGAAGTGGTAATGGCAGGTGTTAGATAAACTACATAGGAGCTTTCTTTTGGACACTATGGCTTTTTTTGCTGTTCGCTAACAACTACACTGATATTATAAAATCATACTCAATTACCTATGTATGAGTTATACTGTACATATTACGTGGAATGTGTCAGGGCTTACCTCTCTCTCCATCTCGTTTTTGGTGAGGTGCATCTGTTTGAGGATCTGTGAGCGTTGCTCCATCACTAAAGTCTTCTCATATGTATAGGCTGAGATGTCACTGTCATGCTAAAAAGGGAAATGGGTGTTAAAACATACATCAATGCACAGTATTCGACTGAACTGGTATTGCTCTCACCAATAAATCACCTTATGGAGCATATAATAGTTTTACATTTTTGTCTCTCACCATTTCCACCACCTCGACCTCGGCATCGATACGCAGGTGATACAGGAAGGTGATCAGGTCTTTCTTCATCTGGATGCTGTTGTCGTCCATCTGGGCCACTGTGAAGATGCGCATCTTACACTTCCTCCACACCTGTCAACACAAGGAAGTTCATTGCAATGAAATTACGTTTGAACCAACGTGGAACAGACGTTGAATTGATGTCTGTGCCCAGTGGGATGTGCTTTCTCTCCAAATCCCCAAATGGGATCCAAACAGGGCCGTTGGTTCCCACCTTGTGCTGGCGCAGAAGGAAAGGCAGCAGCATCAGCATGCCTCCATCATGGACGATCCACCACACATCAATGTGGCCTTCAGTGAAGCGCTCCCCGTTGGACGGGTAGGCAGCGATGTTCTTAGGGACCAGCAGGGCCATGCTGGCTGCAGTCGTCTCCCTAACCACCTCTACAAATAGATTGAACAGGAGTTATCATGTAATGATGATAACACACAAACCCATCCAAAGCATACTTAGCCTATGGAAAAACCTCTCCTCTAACCACTTCTTTAACTCACCAATGAAGTTCCTGAAGCGCAGGTTGTCCTCAGCCTGTTTCCAGGTGCGTGGCCAGCTGACCAGCACAGTGTTGTGCTTCAAGCCTCCCAGCCCACCGACCTGGATCAGGTGGGAGGTTCCATCCCTCAGGTTGGAGGAGATCACCACCTGGGAGAAACCCTTCACCTTCTCTGTCTCCATCAGCTTCCTCAGAGACTGGAGCACACAGTGGGAGAGGTGCAGGGGCAGAGACCAGCGTGTTATAAATGATTCATCAATGATTCATCAGTGTGTGTGTGTGTCTGTGTGTGTGTCTAAGACAGTACTGACCTGGTCTGTCTTCTGGGCCTCTGCATGGTTGTTGAGGAATGTGCCGACCACCGAGGTACCCACGATGGTCAGGCCTTTTCCTGCTTTCAGCTGATTGGTCAGGGACAGCAGACGGGGCTGCTCCACATTCTGTTCTGCATCCACACTCACCAGCACCATGATCTGAGGCCTAACCAGCAGCAATATCAACATTCAGTCACAGTCAGACTTACAGAGAAAGTAACTAAAGCTGGAAACCGCCATAAGTCATGGCCCGTTGATGTAATGTCTGTTTTTGAACATACTTGAATATGAGTGAGTTACCTACAAACAAATACATTTCCCTTGAGTTCAGTATGATACAGGTGATGAATAAAGCTTGTGCAATAATATAAGTGTATTTTATAGATGTGAGTAGATGGCATTTAGCCTCTGTGAATCACTGACCTCCAGTTCTTGGTGTGAGGCGGTCCCTCCTCCAGCCTCATGAGGGCGAAGCGAGCAGCGCTGAGCGAGATGCCACGTATACCATCTCCCCACTCCTTCTCCGCCCTGTCACCCCCACCCCACCCCGGAAAAGCCCCAGGGGGAAAAAGAAAGTAGTGTGGTAGTGTAGCTGGCAACGGATCTGGGAGTGTGGCTCGGCTTGTGACCAGGTGCGGCGACATCGACGGGCAAAGGCAAGTGAGATGGGAAAGTAACCTCCTCTTCCTGGCTTGGCAAATAGAAGGAGGCTGGTATCCATTAACACATGGGAAAGGGGGACATACCGAAGGCAGAGCAGATCAGAGAAGATGTGTGCGGACTTCCACCATGTCAATTGATGCGACCAGGATGGGGGGTTGCGTGAATAATGCATCGCGTGCCATTTCTCGAGCTCTGCCTGATTAGGCCCCGCTCTGAATGCCCATTGGATTGGGGTGGAATACGGAAGCAGACTGACTGTGGCTCCCAGCAGGTGACAGAACTCCTCCAAAAGAGGAGGCGAATTGTGGACCACGGTCAGACAACTACATCCTTTGGCAGTCGTGGATCCGGAAGACGTGTTCCAGGACACCTGGGCGGTCTCCTTGGAGGTTGGGAGCTTGGGGAGGGAATGAAGTGTGCCCATCTGCTTGAATGAAACGGTCATAAACTATGGTGAGAATGAAGGTCATGCCCTTGAAGGGGGCAGCCCCGTGACAAAAGTCAGGGCGAGTGATGGACAAGGGACGTCTGGGCACAGGCGGGGGCTGACAGCCCAATCCGGGCTGGGGCTGGCAGGACGCTTGTGTTGGTTTGCAGATGGGAAGGCTTGGACGAATTCCCGTACTCCTTTCTCAGATAGGGCACCAGAACTCTGGCGAGCAGGTGTAAGTGCGGGTGGAAGCCAGGGTGACAAGCTAAGCGGGAGGGGAGTCATTGTCCCCACTGAACGACCCCTGGGACCCTCAGGTCTGCGGGGACAAAAAAGTCGCAGCTGGGGCAAGTGCTGGGACCTGGCTGTTACGGAGAGCCTCAGCACCTGTCCTAAACAGCCCAGGTCAGAGCTTGCCACGATTGCAGGGGACTTGGCAGAATCGACACAGGGTCCTTGGAGGGGGTGCATCCTTCTGGGAATTGACGGGGAGAAGGCGTCTGGCGTGGTTGGTGTACGTTGATCCAGGCCGGTTGACAGAGTGAAATTAAAATGTGAGAACAGGGCCCAGCGGGACTGCCTGGGAGTTCACCGTTGGCTGCGGATGTACTTCCAAGTTATATGGATCGGTCCAAACGAGAAAGGAATGGTGGACCCCTCCAGCCAGGACGCCATACTCCAGGCAAGCTTCACAGCCAAGCAGCTCACGGTTCCCTATGTCGTTAATTGCACTCAGAGGGGGACAACCGACGTGAGAAAAAGGCACAGGGATGGAGCTGCCTATCCTCCGCAGACCCACTGAGAATCACAGCACCAACTCCAAATCCGAGGCGTCCACCTCACAATTGAATTGCCGTCCACATCAGCATCTGGAGGATGGGAGCGGAGGTGAACCTCACCTTGAGGTACTGAAGGGCTTGTCGGCGGCTGGGGATCCAGGGGTGAAGGGTGTGCTTGGTGCTGGTTTGAGCAGTGAGAGGGGCGAGCAAACGGTATGTAGTTCGATATAAAATTTCATAGAAAAGTAGCAACCCCAGAAAATGTTGCAGCTTCTTGCTGTTCTCCGGAACTGGCCATGGAAGGACTGCTGATACTTTGGAAGGATTCCAGTTGGATACTTCCTTCTGCCACTTATGTTCCCACCCCCAGGAGGCCATGTCTTGCGTGAAACTCACATTTCTCTGCATTGGCGTAGAGGGAATTCTCCAGGAAGACGATTGAAGGACTTGACTGGACATTGGCGGGGTGTCAGACAGGTTTCTGGAGTGGATTAGATGTCATCCAGGGTAAACGAAGGACAAAAAACTTGTTTAACATGTCCCGCAAGTACTCATTCACGAGAGCCTGGAACACAGCAGAGATTGTTTTGAGGCCAAAAGGCATAACCAGATACTCGTAGTGGCCTGTTGGTGTATGGAATGCGGTTTTCCATTAATCGTCGCCGGATCCGCACTAGGTGGTAGCGTTTCTGAGGTCAAAATTGGTTATTATTAAAAACAGTGGCTCATGGAGCAACTCAAAAAGCAGAGGTGAGCAGAGGCAGAGGGGGGGTACAAACGGTTTTGCACTGTGATGCGTTGAGTCCCCTGGTAGTCGATGCAGGGCGAAGAGATTCGTCCTTCTTCCCCACAAAGAGAAGACAGGCCACCAGCAGGAGAGAAGATGACGGATATCCTGCGGACAGAGAGCCATGTGTCGTCCTCCATGGACTTTCTTTCAGGCGAGGACACGGAATAAAGACGACCCTTTGAGGGGCTGTTCCAGGGAGGAGTCGGATGGCACAGTCGTACGGCGGTGAGGGGAAGAGATTGCTCTTGCTTTGTTAAACACCTAATCTGCGAACCATGGTAGCATTCTGGGACATTGGAGAGGTCGCGAGCGGAGTTAGTAGGTACCCTGGCCGAGGGGGTCGTGCGGCAGCAAGCAAGCAGGTCGGTGGCAGTCCCTCCCCACTCCCGATCACCCCGGTCACCCAGGTCGAAGCTGAGGGTTGTGCCGGAGGAGCCAGGGTAACCCAGGATGAGGGGTGGCCTGGAGAGGGGAAGCAGGTGTGAAAACTGGATAGTTTCTTGTGATGGTTTCCGGACAGAACCACGAGCGGGGCCGTGACATGAGTGACCGATCCGAGTAGTTGTCCGTCCAGGACCGGGCAGGAATAGAGGTGTCAAACGGAGTTCTCCAGCCAAGTTTGGCGTGCCAGCTTGTGTCCATTTATGTGCTTCGGCGCAGAATCCACCAGAGCAGCACAGGGTGTGAGTTGAGGTCAGAGAGGGGAAGAGGCGGAGGTGAACTTGCAGCAGGGTTGCGGTCGGAGAGGACTGGATGGTCATGAACTCAACCCGGACTCCCCCTATGCCGGTGGCGCTCGGCCCTTTAAAGGGGGCAGGTTACCACCACGATGTCAATTCACTCCCAATAGAGGCAGAGTTGGTGAAGCGGCGCTGGCGCCTCTGCAGGAGGGTGAGAGAGGAGCGCCCAATCTCCATAGGCTCCCGACTGATCAAGCTGACATGGGGGGTTGAGTGGCAGTAGATGGGGACAGGGAGCCAGTGGATCTCTAACGAAGCCGGTAGGAGGTGGACCTGGCCGGCCCCCTTCAACGGACGACGGGTCTGTATCCTTCTGTCGAGACTGACCAAGTCAGTGGAGATTGCTCTTTGAAACGTATTCCTCCCCACTGCTCGCTCATATAGCAACCTTTCCTTCACCCAACTGTCTTTCTAATACGCCCTGATCTCATGTTTCCTCCGAAAAATAGAGCATTATATGCAAAGAAACAGAAATAAGACGAGGACATCCTTCAGAGAGTTAAGGGCAAGAAGTAAACAGATAGCATCACTATTAGTAGTGGAGACTAAGAGAGACAGTAGAGTAACACTTAACAGACTTAGAGTGGAACGTTTCAAGCTCGTGCAAACGCAAAGAGGGGAAATCTCAAGAACAGCCCAGCAGTCAAACAATCGGTAGAGGGAGAGCGCATGCAGACAGCAGCCTAAGAAAAAAGACTGCAGAGTAAGAAGGTTGAAAGATACGCTAGGTAAAAAAAGAAGAAGCCAGTGAAGTAGTAGAGAACGACAAAAAAGAAAGAAATAAGAGAGAACATAAAAGTAGAGTGGAGAGAAAGAGAGAAACAAGAGAGAGAAGAACAGAGAAAGAAAAGAAAGAGTGGAAAGAAGAGTAAGAGAGAAGAAGAGGAAGAGTGAGAAGAGAATAGCCAAAGAAGAGATCAAGACCGATTAAAACTAAAAATTAAGAGCAAAATCAGTAGCATCAGTTAGACTAGAGTAAGCTGAAGAAGAGAACGGACTCGCTAACAGCCGCTCAAGCATTAAGTACATAGACGTTACCACATACGATCCATCTAGATAACCGAAGAGCAGAACCCTAAAGCGCACAAGAGGGGCATACGAGAAAGAAGAGCTGTAGGCATAGCATAGAGACGCAGAATTATCAGGAAAAGAAGGGTCAAAACCAGAGGATAGAAGTATCACAAGAGAGGGAGACACGCTATTAAGTCTTAGAAGAGCGCACACAGGGGATAAATAGATCCCCTCAGCCAGAAGTTAAAGAGAGGGGAAATAGCAATAAAAAAAAACAGTTCAAGTTACCCGCAGCAAAAAGAAATCGTATTCGGTCAAGAGTTATTAGTGGCAAAGACCATAACCTATAAAGTAGCAGCCATAGACAGTAGAGGAGAGACGAGGAGAGATGCAATAGACATAGACTAGAGAAGCAGCAAAATGAAGTAGATGGCTCTAAAGGCATCCAAGCAAGGAGAGTAAAGAGTACATAGAAAAGAGAGAATGCTAGAGCATAACAAGATAAAGAGAGAGAAGACTTTTGAAGGGCCAGAGGGCGATGATAAGCAAGATGAGGAGACGTTCTGCCCCCCAAGCAAAGACAGCAATATTAGGGAAACCCCGCACCCAAGCCAGAGCAGCTCAAGAATCCCTGTGGGCATTTAGTACCACAGAAGTAAACAGAGAAGTAGAGAGGGGATTAGACGAAAAGAAGGACCAAAAGAACAGGTCTATAGATGACAAACCGCAGACAGAGACATGAACAACCAGAGAAGGCAGTAGTAGCACATAGTCAGAACGATAAAAGACATGATAAAATAGAGTCAAGCCGTACAAAGAATGAGAGAGAGATAGTGAGATACATAACTTCCAAGTAAGCACAGAAGAGGGGAAATCATAAAGGCAAAAGAGCCCCAGAGGGGATAAGGTTTAAGTAAAACGCAAGAGAAAGATAGGACAGGCGTGTTTAACAGAAGCAATCAAGAAGAGTTAGAAGAGGGGGTCTATAACATAACTAGCAGTAAGCAGGGGAGAGGAGAGCCTAAAGGACTACGAAGAGGGCGTAATCGTAAGATTACTCTTAACAAGCAGAAGAGCAAACGAAGCTTGATCTCCAAGTAGAGCAGACTTCGGGGCAGTAGTCCTTCTAATTTTAAAGACTAAGAGCAGAGCAGTTCCGCTCAGAGGGCGAATTAGAAGATACGAGCTCCGCCAAGACCATGACGTCTTAAGAGTAGAACGAGTAGAGAGAAACGACATAGAGAGAGTAGCCTATGCAGGAAAGTCAGACACAGAAAGCCTCGAAGACGAGAGGGTTAAGTCACGAGGGTTAAGGGAGAAGATCGGAAGTTCAAGAGGGGATCAGTAGTATAAGACAATACCAGAAAGCTGAAGCACGCTTCATAAGAAAAGATAAAGGAGACAAGCCAAGAGTGACATTAGGAAAAGAGAAGAATAAAGACTAAGATGGACCAAAAGGAAGAATGCCAAAAGAAGTGTAAGAGGAATAGAGGGAACGTAAGTAATAAGGCCATTAAAAAGATCACAGTGGCCGCCAGAGGGTTTATCCAAAAGCGTAACCAAGATGCACTTCGAGCACAACCACGGAGTAATTTAAAGTTAGTTCATTGTAAGGACGCTAACTAGCAAAGACAAAGCTCCTCCACAAAAGTGAAGAGTCAATCAGGATGCTCAGCTAAGCCCAATTAAAACTTAAAGAGGGGACCTAGAATACAAGTAGACCAGGGGGGGGAAAGCCACCGTATGCTAAATGTAGAATGCAGAGATTTTTAGATTCTTAAAGTAAGTTTAACGACAGGTTAATACCCAATGCCTACACAGAGACACAACCGCCAGAAGAAGAGCATAGACTAGGTTCATATAAAGACATCACGTAAAGTACGACGAACATAATCCCAGAAAGAGAGCATACCAAGGAAGAAACCAACCGTAAGAAGAAGTTCTTTAGAACAAGCAGCAAGAGAGAACGCCAAGGGATAAATCAGATGAGCACGAGGATCAATAAGCTTAATAACAGGAGAGAAGTAAGAGAAGATAATCAAGATCGAAGAGTAAGGTAAAGAGGGGACAAGAACCCTAGAACAGGGGGAATAGAGTTTACGAAAAGTCCAGAGAGACAGAAAGCAGAGAGAAGTAAGCTACAGAAATCAAGATAAAGACAAGTAGTAAGGAGAGCAATGACAGAGCTCAAACAAGTCAAGCAGCTAAGAACGAAGTCAAGGTAATAGACCGCTAAAAGAGGGAGCAAGCATATAAAAAGAGAAAGTCAGTAGAAGAGAATAGAGTACTAAGAACTAAGAGAGAGCAGAAAGAGAAAACGAATAACGTCGTCTTTCCTTGAAAGCCTAAGAAGACGCCTAAGAGGAGCATAAGTAGTAAAGTAACCCAACGCAGAGATAAGAAGAGGTAATAAGGCATCTAAAGAACGCGCAGACAAAGTAGAAGAGAACAGATTTCACAGATAAGAGGACAAAAAAGCGTCTAGGGAGTAGAAGAAAAGCTCAATACACAGAGAAAAAAGTAGATGCAAAATGGACAAACCTCCCCCCCCCCCGCCGACTTCTCCCCCTTCTCTATACCTCTCCCCCTTCTTCAGTCCTATTACCCCCCCATATTCGCTCTCCGTCATTTTAGTCTTCTCCCCCCCCCCCCACCCCTTTCTCAGTCCTCATCTCCACTCCCCCCTCCCCATCCATAAGTGAGGGGAAGTAAGTGAGAGATACAAGACTTAAGAGAAGGGTGCCAGCCTATAAGGAAGCATCGCAGAAGAAGTCAGTCAAAGTCTAATAGACGAGCTAGAACATGAGAGAAGATCACAGGCATTCCGCCAAAAGCACAGACGACAAACGCAAGACAGAAACTAGAGAGATCAAGATAATCTAGCAGGAAACAGGAGTAACAAGCAGGTACTAAGCTTAAAAAACAAGAGAAAGCAGCAAAAGAGAGAAAGGAGAAGTAAAAGGAAGAACCCACGGTCAGATGGAGTAGCAAAGTAAGTAGTAGAATAGAGATGCTCCAGAGGGAAAGAAAGTAAGCATGAGACATAGAGGACCGATAACAACCAGACGGTAGTATGGCATGAGCAGACAGAAGTTCAGCCAAGAAGTGAAGACGGGGGATAAGAGTAAGAAACTGAACAGACGAAGCAACAGTAAAGAGGGGGATCCCCACCGTAGACCACAGAGAGAGCCCGAGGCAAGAAGTTAAGTCCAGGAGAAGTAGAAGTCAGAGGGGAACAACGCAACAGAAGGAAGGAAGAGAGAGAGAAATAGCAAAACCTAGCTATAAACACGTCAAATAGAAGAGACGAGAACTAAAAAATAAGTGAGCACAAAAACAGAGAAATAGGACCTACCTCTTCTTTCACTGTTCAGTACACATATCTCTGCGACCGTCCCCTTACTCCCTTTATTCATATCTCACTATTTCTTCTCCTTTTGTTTCCACCCTTCCTTCTCCTAAAGAGTATAAGATCTATAACAACAACAGACAGTTATGTAATTTAGTAGCAGAGCATAGAACGGTAGAGTATGTTAGAGGGGCAGTCTAGTAGCCGTACAGAGACTCTAAAGCAGAAGACAGCAAAGACGATAGAGCGAAAAGAGATAGAGAAAGATAGCCAACGAAAGTGACAAGTGAGAAGAAGAAGTTCATAGAAAACAAATTATAAGTAATTAAGAGGGGAAGCTAGCTAAAGAAGAACACAGCCAGGAGCAGGACCAATAATTGAATACAGGCCAAGCGCCATTAGTTAGGACTAGAACAAAAGAGAGCAGTCATAGTAGAGCAGCTAGAGCCACCAGAGAAGAAACATAGAGTAGTACCAAGAGCCAAGCAACGAGAGAGGACGTAGCAAGAAAATATGAAGAGAACGTAAAGAGCCTATAAGCTAAGGAAAAATAAAAAAGAGTGGATAGAGAGGGTAGAGCAAGAGTAGCAGAGCGGGAAGAAGAGTGGAAGTCAAAAAGAAGAAAAAGGGAGCAGAGCGGGACAAAGAAGAGCAAAAAGAAGAGAGAAGAAGAGAGAGAAGAAGAAAGAGAGTGGCAAGGAAAGCACGAGAGTCTTTTTAGAGAGGAAGAAAGGACACGAAAAGGAGAGTAGAAAAAGTAGACGTAGAACGACTAAAGAAAAGCAGCAACAAAGGACTGCAGAGTTCAGATGTCACAACGTCTACAAAGCCAGATAGATAGAGAAATAACCAAAGTCAACAAGGCCAGGAAGAGCCGAATTTGTATATTTTCTCAGAGGCGCACATGAAAGTAAGTGGCAGTTACCAAATTGAGAAGCAACATGCCCCAGAGCACAGTAGAAAAAATCAAGCACTCCTAGATAGTCATAGCATGAAGTAAGCTATTGCACGAATCCAACAAAGCTTAGCAGTACCTGTAGATACAGGCTCCCCAGAAAGAGACCAGACCCCAGCGAAGAGAGGAAAAGCTTTAGTAACACAAGAAGCCGACCAGAGTAAGAAGAAAAAAGTACGCTTCAGGCAGCAAAGACTAAGCGAGTAGGGGGAGCCCCTCTCTAATAATAGACTCGAGTTTAAGAGGGAGCCTAGACGAGAGGTGACGTAGACACAAGAACACCATAAGAGTTATAGCGCTGTAGTGCCCTAAAGACGGGGACCTTAATAGTCACAGACGTTTCCAAGCATCTAAAAATCTAGAGAAGAGGTGCGCCACATAACATTCAGCAACGAGCCTCACAGAAAGATAACCCAAGCAGTAGGCAGATAAGCGAAGAGGTACGTTTGAATGAGGGGATAAGAAAGCGGATACGCCCCCAGTAACTAGAGCCACAGCAGAGAACAACGTAAACAGACCATAAGTACAAATACCGTTCCAACGCAAAAAGCAAGAAAGAGACCTAGAATGAATGCAGTAAGAGATGCAAGAGAGGCATAGGAAGTACGTGCAGCCAGAGACAGAGTAATAAAGAAGAGCGGAGAAATCTAAAGAGGGGGAAGGAAGCTAGATGGATTAAAGAGAGGAAGTAGGGGAATACCCCTACACAGAGAGAGAAGAAGTTTAGTAGGAGTAAG